ACCCGCTCCTTAGATAGCCCGGGCAAGGCACTCATAGGGCGGCGACGGTGACCAACAGTTACTACCTGGTGCGGTCCTGGCCCACAGCTTACGCAGGTGACCGCGGAACCACCCGCCCTGCCCACAGGCAGCCAACCCGGCCCGCTCCGCGGGGTCTCCTCCCTGTGCTGGCTCTCTCCACTTGGCTCCATGCCAGGGCAAGTTCCACGCTCTGAAGATGAAGAAAAACAAGTTTTAACATTCGAGACACTTGGTACGGGGGGCAGAGAGCGGACATGGGAATCGCGTGCGACACAACATGCTGCCACCCTCCGCGGGGGGACACTCCCTCCCCCGCTGCCCAGGGCACCTCCACCCGCGGGGCAACGCAGGACTCAGATGTCCCCCTTCGGGGCCTTGTCCATGTTGCGCGCACCCACCCGTGCTGTGGACCACGAGGCGTGTTTCTTATTCCCACTTGACTTTCCTTGGTGTTGATGACTGACCCATGACTTCATTAAAAAAATCTCTCCTTATGTCTCTCAGCTCTGACCCATGTACAACCATGGCGACAGCGCGTCTCCCAGTTTCCAAGCCTCCTCCGGAGCCCTGACCTGGGCTGCGCCCAGGAGTGCCACGCAGGTGCCCTGACCTCCCCCTGGTCCTGGGAATCCCCGAGGCTCCATGTTGGAAGCCTTGGTTTCTGGATCCCAGGTCTCCTCGTCCGTTATTCTCTCCTGGGGAACATTTCCTAGGAAAAGGTGGGTGGCCGGTAACCTTTTTAGGATTCCTCGCATCTGAAAGCCGTTATTCCTTGGCCCCTGCAACGTGGGTCACGTTTTCTCGGTCAGACATTTCCCTCCGATTCTGAAGGCAGGCACTGCTGCGCTGCGTCCGCCTCCCAGAAGGAATGGCGTTTCTGCACAGTCTGAATACCAGCCCCTTTCACCTACATGTTCTTCCTGGAGGATTTAGGTTCTTTTTCTTTCCATCTGGTTGTCCTGAAACTTCACAAAGTTTTTTGTTCTTTGTGTTGGGTAATTGGTGGGACTTTCTTTTTAATTTTTATTTATTTACTTTTAAATATATATGTTGATTTCAGAGAAGAAAGGAGGGAGAGAGAGAGAGAAACATCAATGAGAATCAAGGATCGGCTGCCTCCTGCACGCCCCCTAATGGGGATCGAGCTCACAACTCGAGCATGTGTCCTGGACCAGAATCGAACCCGGGATCTTTTGGTCCCCAGGCTGATGCTCTATCCACTGAGCCACACTGGCTAGGGCATTGGTAGGACTTTCGATCATAAACTCACGACCTCAATTCTGGGAAATGCCCTTGCATCATTTCTTTGATGGCTGCCCCTGCCCCTTCTGTTCTTCCTTTAGAATGCCCGCAGTAGGATCTTGGACCCCTTGGACTGATCACCTCAACCTTTTCTGTCACTCTTTGTTTTTGGATCAGCTTTTTGGGACCCTGCCTCAATTTCACCCTTTAATTCTTCTAATTAATTTTTGATATTGGCTATTGGCTATCATACTTCTAAATTTCTATAGATGTTTAATTCTCTGAATGCTTCTTAAAACCTCAGCATCTTTCCCTAGCCAGTTTGGCTCAGTGGATAGAGCATCGGCCTGCGGACTGAAGGGTCCCAGGTTCAATTCTGGTCAAGGGCACATGCCCGGGGTGTGGGCTTGATACCCAGTATGGGGCGTGCAGGAGGCAGCCGATCAATGATTCTCTCTCATTATTGATGTTTCTCTCTCTCCCTCCCTCCCTCTCTGAAGTCAATAAAAATTAAAACAACAACAACAACAACAAAACAGCATCCTGCCTGGCCGGTGGCGCAGTTTGGTTGAGCATCGTCCTGTGCACCAAAAGGTCACCAGTGGGATTCCAGGTCAGGGCACATGCCCGGCTTGTGGGCTTGGTTCCCAGTAGGGGGCGTGCAGGAGGCAACTGATGGATGTTTTGCTATCTCTCCCTCTCCCTTCCTCTCTCTCTAAAATAAATAAAAAATATTAAAAAATATAAAACATTTTCTTTTTGCTTTCATTTATACAATATTTCCTCTAATCTCTGTGATAATATTCATTTTTAAAAAAGTTTTCGTCTGTTCTCTGCATTTTGTTTCCTCTGAGTTTCTCTTGGCTTGTCTACCTGACTTTGTCTCCATCTTTTCTATTTGAGGTTTTCTTAAACGAGACAACAAGAGCCCTGTGGTTCAAGGCGAGCCTTCCCCAGGAGTCGGCCTCAATGTGGGACAAAGTGGGGGGGCCATTCATTGGGAGGCCCTTACTGTGGTTTCTGGAGGTTTTATCTCCTAGAGTAGTAGCTCATTTCCCAGAGAGGGAAAAAAGAGATTTAGCTGCCACACGTTTAAATGCTAAACGCAGAAAGTAGGCTAAAGGTCTCACCATTCAGTCTATAAGATTTTCATTAAATCCTCATTTTCTACATAATAGCCCTTCCTTGAGCTGTGCCTGACCCCTGAGCCCACAACTCCTCTGTCATGTTCTACAACAAGTAGCCCTTCAGCCTCTGCTTAGCAGAGGGAACACAATGGTCTCAGAGCTTCTTGACTCGCCTTTCAGCCCAACCTCCTGTTTTCAGTCCAACCCTACGTCCTTGACTTTATTTTTTATGTATTTTTATTTATCTTAGAGAAGGGAGAGGGAGAGTGACAGAGAAACATCAATGAGAGAGAATCCTTGATTGGCTGCCTCCTGCACATCCTCTACTGGGGATTGAGCCCACAACCCGGGCATGTGCCCTTGGCCAGAATTGAACCTGGGGCCCTTCAGTCCCTAGGCCGGCGCTCTATCCACTGAGCCAGACTCTAGGGCCTTATATCCTGGACTTCAGAGGTACCCTCAGTGCTTCCAATCCTAACCTTCCAGACAGGAACCAGCATTTTCTCTGTAGACACAGCTTTCTCTGGTGCTTAGCCAGTTGCCACCCATCCATCTACTCTCCAGCTCCCCAGTTTTCCTGGATGTCACATCTGCTGCTATGTCCTTGCCAGTTTGTCCTGCGGTTTCTCTTTTAAGAATCCCTGTCTGATGTTTTAATGGCGTTCCAGGAAAAGGGTGGGGGGGGGGAACGTGTTGGATCCACATGTTTGACCCAAAATATTTTCTGTAAGTATGTTATAATATAAAACTTATTCTTGTTAATGCTTCTGTTAACATTAACATGAATTTCTGTTAATTGGCACTTCTGAACCCAAAAATCTAGTGAGCTCAGTATGCTACCCCCACCCCATTGCACTAACTTCACATTCACTAAAAACCAAACACACAAACAAAAAGCCTACTCTGATGAATAAAAATGGAGTAAGAGCTGAGTGCACAGCAGATACTTCATAAACAATGAGTTAAAGAGATAGCTCTAAAATGAGAAGTCAGACTTAACCTAAGTTCCTACACATGCTCTGTACATGCCTTTAAGTTATTCTTTCATAGCCTATTCCCCCATGTTCTCTTTAGGGACCTCCCCCCTCCAAATATTTCATGGTATGGGACCTAAAGCATTTACGAATTAACACTTATGTCTTATACGTTCTGAAGATCTCATTAATTAACATTATGCATGAACATTTGAGTGGTATCAGGCTTGAAAAAGAGAATTTCCACAGTAAATATTTTAGAGTAAAACACATACTTAAACTAAGTCGGAAATGTTGATAATAGTATAAATTAGTATATCTTCTACAGAAGTTAATTAAAAATTAAAAATGTATATGCCCAGTCATCAGGGGAAAGCAAGTGAAAACCACAATGACATAATCTCATATCTGCTAAAATGACTGAAATATAAAAGACTGACAACAATCAATGTCAGCAAGGATGTGCAGCAGCTGAAATTCTCATACAATGCGTGTTGGGTACAAAATGGCACAACCACACTAAGACACTGCCTGGCAATTTCTTATAAAGTTAAACAGGTACCTTCTCGGTGACCCAGCAATTTCAGCCTCAATTATTTACCTAGAGAAAAAAAAGCATACATCCACAGAGTGCCATCCTAGCAGTTTTATTCATAACATCCCCAGACTAGAAAGAATCCGAATGTCTATCAACAAGTGAATGGATAAACAAATTGTGGTATAGTAAAAAAAGAAAAAAAATGCTGCCCAGCAACGAAAATGAACTAATGATGCATACAATAATATGGGTGACTATCCAAAACATACGCTGAGCAATCCTATTTATATGACATTCCAAAACAGGGAAAACTCATCTATGACAGAAAAGTACAGGCTGCCTGGCACTGGAGTGGGAGGGACTGGCTATAGAGGGGAAACATGTATGTTCTTATCTTCCCTGGGGTAGTGGTCACATGAGTGCACACATTTGTCAAAACTCATCAAATTACACAGTTAAAACAGGTACATTTACTGCATGGAAATTGTATGTCAATAAAGCTGATTAAAAAAATGGGAAGGGAATGATAAATGTAAAGTTCAGGATTTCTCCCAATCCTCAGGGTTGACAATAATTTAGTCCTTAATTGGGTATTAGGTTCATAGGCCTTCACTTTGTTATCATTTCTTATAATGTAGGTAACATTATTTCTACATATAAAATATGACTAAAAATCAATAAAAATATAAGTTAATAAAAATGATGGACCACAGGGTCAGAAAACTGTTTTGGCTTTGGGTTCTAATTAGTTCTGTTTTTGCATAAGTCACTTCACTTCCTCGAATTTCTTCAAATGATTCAGCAGACCTTATATTGACTGTTAAGAGGAACAGATGAAATAATATGCATAAAAGTATTTTGAAAATATAAAATACTATGCAAATTACTTGAAGACTTAATAATGGGAGATTAATTAGAAAAGTGGCAATGAGTGATACGTAGAGAACACTGACAGAACACTGCTATCAGGGGGAGTGACAGCATGTGGAGGAGGAAGAGAAGTATGAGAGCAGTGAGAACACACTGACTTCTTACTGTGGCCCTGATACTGTTCTAAACTCTTAACCCTACGTTAGTCAACATAAAAGGGAAGAGAAACCGCCTGAAGAAACAGTCTTTAACCACCGCACACAAAAACAGCAAGTTACCTATTACAGAAGAAGGAATGCAGAGAGAAAGAAAAGGAAAGAGGAAAGTCTAGATTGTATTACATGTCTTTCATTATTAGAAACGAGGAATATGAAGTAAAACTAGAATAATGTATTATATTCAAATAATTTAAAGTAGTATTTTCTTATTTCTTTTTCTCATATTCTTACATTTCTTTGTATTTATTCACAGAATAACCAAACCGAGGAGACTAATTCTGGGAGATTTGACATTTCTCTTTAAAAGACGTTGTTTCATCAGAGTTGGCCAGATTCCTTGCCCCGGATTTAGCCCACACCCTCCCCCCAGGATGGTCGCTAGTGAGATGTGCACCGTGGAGTCTCTGTAACCCAGGCACTGACTTGGCAGAGCACGCTGCCCTTTAATGAGAAACCAGAGGACGCAGGTCCTAGGCGTGAGTCAAAGGATCCAGCAAGTGCCTTCCACGTGGTGTCTCAGCTTCCCATCGGGAACACATCTCACAGCTGAGGCCAAGCTGTAAGTGCTCGGCTAGCGCTGGGCACGCAACCAGTCCCCAGGGCCACACTTAGTCACTCAGCCGTGAGAGCCCTCCCATGTGCGCCACGCGGAGACACAGCCACGCCCAACCAGGGGGCCATGTTGCGACTTCCTCCCTCTCTGAGATTTTTATGAGGCTCATTTTACTCTGGTTTCCAATATAAAAATAGAACAGAAGAGACGGGAAGAACAGAATATAGGAGGATTGACCTAAGGCACTATCTGTAATTGGCCTCATAAAAATAACGGAGATAAAGTGAGATGTAGGGGCAAAAAGGACTTTATAAAAAGAAAAAGGAGAATTGAATTGCAGGCAGCATCATTATCATTTTATCTCTCAGGCAACTCAGTCCAAACACCTGATGCTGCTGTTTAATATCAGGGCTCAGGAAAGTAAATCCCCGGGACATAAATTTGCACTAAAAATCATACATCAGGAAAAATAAACACCCTAAAATGCATTCATTTATCTTTATTTCCTAAAGTTTTTATGATGAACATACATTACTAATGTAAAAAACAGTCTCTAAAAATCTTTAACTTTTGACATAAGTCACAAAGTGATACAAAATATATCACAAATGCTTTTGAAATATATATGCAAGTTAAAGTACACCATGTTAGTCAACGTAAAAGGGAAGGGAATCAATGCTATGGGTAGTTATCAATAACTTTTAAATAGTTAGATATACAGAACAAATTTTTGGTTAAGTCTATGTAATAACTGCTGGTTTTTAAACAGAAAAGAATGTCTGAATACACCCAAACCAATTCTATTTCAGAGCATTTTTGTGCAATCTTGTCATACTGTGTTAGCTACAGACAGCCATGTGCTGAAAATATGGGAAATAACTATGTTTTTATAAGAATTTAGATTTTATAATTTCTACTACTAGATATCTAAAAAATAGACTTACATAATATAAAAAAATCTCACTTTGCTATTTGTCTAGGAAAAGTATGTGCAAAAAAAAAAAAGTCAACATAGCCCTAACCGGTTTGGCTCAGTGGATAGAGCGTCAGTCCTGCGGACTCAAGGGTCCCAGGTTCGATTCCAGTCAAGGGCATGAACCTTGGTTGCAGGCACATCCCCAGTAGGGAGTGTGCAGGAGGCAGCTGATCGATGTTTCTCTCTCATCGATGTTTCTAACTCTTTATCTCTTTCCCTTCCTCTCTGTAAAAAATCAATAAAATATATTTTTAAAAAAGTCAACACAGCATTTCAGATGTAACAGCAATTCGGACGCAGCACCTGTAAAACACTGTCAGGGGCAGCGGCTCTGGGTCCTCTCCCTTCAACACATACCCGGCTCCTCGGCTGCAGCTCCGCTTCCCTGGGGACCCTCCGACACCGCTGACTGCGCAAAGCTCTCCCTCCCCAGGGCCGTCTCCGCAGCTGCTGTCTACAGTGAGACACAGAACAAAACAAAAAGACACAGTTGGGGAAACGATCGCAGTAACATGGAAAGGTGAAAGACACTTATTTTCTATAAGAGTTCATATTATAGACGCATGACACAACATTTTCCCTCTAAATACTTCCAAAGAAACAATCCCTTACCTTAGATTTGGATAAAACGGGACTGTAGGGAAAGAAGAGAGAAAAGAAAGAGTTAAAAAAATGACAGCGGTAATATGCTCCCAAACAAATGTCACTGAAATGCTGTGAAAAAGTTACAGCTCCTCAGGGTTCTGACATTAGCACCAGACATTCCCACTGCGGACAGCAGCGCTGGCTCTCGCAGCGCAGAGGCGGCGACAGCGTGTTCATCTCCTCCAAGGCTAATTGCTACTGAAGCCTCCCAAATAAACTACAAATGCTGAGATGCAGGAAAAAAAACTAGTTCCATGCGAAGGACAGGGAAAGTCTCTGTACTGAATATTTCGAAACAAATCTCCTATTTGCTTTTAAAAATTCCATTAATTTAAAACTCTGGGAAGTTGAAAGGTAACATATTTAACAGGCTAAGAAATTAGGTTATAGTGCAAAATCCCATAGTATTTGGTTTCAAAGGTTCAAAATGACCAACACAAGAAAACTGTCACCATGACAGTTGAATAAGTTATCACTTCCGAATCTAGACTCATTCTGCACCAGTTTAATCATGACCCTGCCCCTCAGCTTTTGAATTCTAAGTCTTAAAATACGAATTAAAAACATATTTAACTGCTTTATTATTACTGTAATTTAGCTTTAAAGATCCAATTCTTCGATAAAAATCAAGCAATTAAAAATTATCTGGTAAATGCAATTTCCCTTCTGCATTATTTTGCTTAAATATTGTATTGTATTTGTTTCCATTAACAGACTACTCTTTAAAAAATATGTTTTTTACTATAATTTACAAATATTGGCCAACAGGCCTAATACACAATTTTTCCATCTGAATTGCCTAATCTCTTAACCAATAAGAGATAAAAAGTAGAAGTTATATTTAAAAATTTCTAGTTAAAAAAAGGGGGACACATGTAATACTTTCAACAACAAAAATTCCTAATTAAAAAGTACTTTGAACCTCTGTAAAGTTGACCTTTCACTGAGCTTGGTGTAAGAAACAGATAAAAGCTGAGAAAGAAACCTAATCATTTTATTTTACCCAGTTTAAATTCTCCAGTTGAAAGCATTAACAAAACAAATACAGAAATGGATCTTGTATTTCAAATATTCAATGCTACAATGGTTCTTCAATATTCCAATCCAAGCTCATTCTAACCAAACACTGAAATACTTACTCTTGATGTGTTGCGCAAAATTTGGTAAGCCGTTCAAAATCTTCACCATTAAATCCCTTTTCTGAATTCCTTGGAGACGTGGCTGCACGTGGCTGTACAGTTTTCCATTTTGTTTCTAAATTTAAAATATTTGTTAGTCACTGACTATTACAAATCATATTTAGGAGGGAACATAGTTAACTGGCACACTTATAAAGATTAGCATGCAAAATTATCTTCTCCAAAAACCCATAAGTTAATATCGTTAGAAACAGCTAAGTGATTACTTTTCAATGTAAGTAAATATTATCTCAGAGACTAAATGAGCCAGTAGGACATACAAAGGGATCAGAAGAAATGCAAATAGTGGCAGGAGTTCCCTGCGTGGCATTGATATGAAGAACAAAATACAAAGAGAGATTTTCTCACAATGACACTGCTTGTGGTGAAAATGCTACATTCTCTGCAACAGCAACGTGAGTGTAGAAACATTTCTTTACTGATTTACAAAACCCAGTCAAATGCGTTAACTTCTTAGATAGCAACTTGTTAAATTGCTGATAATTCCACATTCTGCTGGTCTGTACTCACCCCATTGTTCTTGAATAGCAGAAAGATTGGCAAGCAATCGCTCATGATACAGTCGTTCAAGCTGAATGAATTTCATTGCTTTCTCATCTGAAGAGAACACTTGAGGAAAATAGAAATCCAGGCTATTTACATTTAGCCACATAGTTGAAGAATAATGTCCTATATAAAGTGTGAAACTTGAAGCTTATCAAAAAAATAAGAGGACTCTAAATATTTTTTAGTTTAAACATAAGTAAGGTGTCTTGGTTTTGAAGTAGGTACATTTTAATGCAGCATATTATGCAATAGCTACTTGGGCTCCATTCTATCAGCAAACAGTAGAAACTAAAAGAAAATGTTAATGCTCAGGAATGCCTGTTTGCTAATCTATCGCTAGCCGTCAATTAAATTTAATTTAATTGGAAACGGGACTCCCACAGACTCCTGGAATCTGTTTCCCTCTTTCCTCTCCTTAAATTACTTTCTGTCGAGCAACTGCTACCCTCTCGCCTGTCAACCTGTTTCTGATTTCCCTCACCTTAACCCTTGACTTCTCACTGAATGCTTTTCTCTCACAAAACCAAAGGGTTACCTGCCTAAGCGAGGACAGAGCCAAACATATGAATCTTCTGTAAAAATTTAACTAACCTGCCACAGTAATTGTCATAATTATGTGAAATTCTGCAGATTTTCTAATAAACTTCTGCCATCTCCATCTGCATCACACATTTAGCATCATGTGAGGTCGTGGTGAGCTGCCCAACTGCCTGCCTTCCTTTGGGCCATGTCCTAGATGCCGAGCCAGGAGGAAGGACGAGGAACACTCACTGTCTAGCTGTTTGTCCTTCTCAAGATCACTGAGGTCTGCTTCTTATTTGTAGCCTTAAAAATATGCCAGGGGTCATAAACTAGGCCAGGGAGAAGCTGGGACAAGTAAGTCAGCTTTCCTCTGCCCATGACTTACAGTCTACGGATTTTTTTTACTTAACTCAGTGGTTCTCAACCTTCTGGCCCTTTAAATACAGTTCCTCATGTTGTGACCCAACCATAAAATTATTTTCGTTGCTACTTCATAACTGTAATGTTGCTACTGTGATGAATCGTAATGTAAATATCTGATATGCAGGATGGTCTTAGGCGACCCCTGTGAAAGGGTCGTTCGACCGCCAAAGAGGTCGCGACCCACAGGTTGAGAACCGCTGACTTAATCGAACATAATCTGAAAAATTTGCTGAAATACAGATTCATGGGTCTGATCGCCAGTTCTGATTCTAAGGCCCATGAACTTGCATTTCTAAGAAACTCCCAGAGATGTTGATGATGGTCAGCCCTGCACTACACCATACTCTACTTTAGTTAAAAAAACATGCCCTGACCGGTTTGGCTCAGTGGATAGAGCATCGGCCTGTGGACTGAAGGGTCCCAGGTTCGATTCCGGGCAAGGGCATGTACCTGGGTTGCGGGCACATCCCCAGTAGGTGGCGTGCAGGAGGCAGCTGATCGATGTTTCTCTCTCGTCGACGTTTCTAACTCTCTATTCCTCTCCCTTCCTCTCTGCAAAAAAATAAAATAAAATAAAATAAAATCAATAAAATATATTTAAAAAACACACACAAGTGTTCTAGCTTCATTTCCGCCACAAGTGGATTTTCTACAGACTTTGTGATAAACTGTGACTGTCTGACAGTGTTACCAGCTGGCTTGGTAGAGAGTTCAGGGGCAACTGCCTATCCCTCAATCTGCTCAGAGGTGTGGTGGAAGTCAACCGGGTTAGGAGGAAAAACCGCACGAATGGGGAAAACAGATGTTTCTGATACAGCCTTTCCAGAGAGTACATACTGGGCCATCCCTCAAAAAGAAGAGTGGTTTTTAAAAAGGGAAATTGGAAAACTGAGGGGAGAATCTTTCCCATATAAAATTTAACATACAATCTCACTTGACAACGTTTATTCTGTTTATTATGAATGAAAAATGAAATCTTTCCTTTGCAGATGTATGTGTGACAGTTGCGAGATCTACTATGTGCGATATGCTTGCCAGGCTCTATTACATCAATACTAGAGGCCGGCCTCACCCCGATCGGGATCGGGATGTTGGGGGCCCATCAGGGGCGGATCAGGCTGGTTGGCTGCTGCAGTGCGTGTCATAGCCACCGGTCATTCCGGTCATTCTGCTGTTCTGGTCACTGGGCTTTTATATATTAGGATTAGTTGACTTGTAACTCTGCTTAATTCAAAGGAAGAAAATCCAATGGATTTTTTTTTAAATATATTTTATTGATTTTTTACAGAGAGGAAGGGAGAGAGATAGAGAGTTAGAAACATCGATGAGAGAGAAACATCGATCAGCTGCCTCCTGCACATCTCCTAATGGGGATGTGCCCACAACCCAGGTACATGCCCTTGACCGGAATCGAACCTGGGACCTTTCAGTCCGCAGGCCGACGCTCTATCCACTGAGCCAAACCGGTTTCGGCTCCAATGGATTTTTAAATTATATTTTTCAGCATTGTGTTTTCCCTCCTTCCTCTCCTCCTCCCAGCCACCCAAACACACAAATATTTAGATTCTGGTAAAATTAGAGCTGCCTGGCTGGTGTGATTGAGCGTCGGCCTATGAACCAGGAGGTCACGGTTCGATTCCCAATCAGGGCACATGCTCAGGTTGCGGGCTCGATCCCCAGTGTGAGGCATGGTGGAGGCAGCTGATCAAGGATTCTCTCATCCTTGATGTTTCTTTATCTCTTTCTCCTTCCTCTCTGAAATTAATAAAAAATATACTTAAAAAAATTAGGGCTCATTTATTTAGTCCTAGAGAATTTTCTGGAGTGACAGAGAGTCCCTACATCTTGCTTTCTGAGGTGATTACATGGGTGCATGCAACTATTAAAGCTTATTAAAAATAACATATCATACATTTTCTTGTATGTAAAACTCAAGTTTTTAAAATGTACAGTTTTCTAAGATTTCTATGAATTCCTTCCTGTAATTAAGAAAAGGATACAGTCCTCCTCCTGGAAATAGGACTCTGCTATCTGTTAAAAATAAAAAACAAGACATTAAGTTAATATTCGGATGAAATGACAAATTTGGAAGAAATCACAACCTTGAAACGCTGAAAGCCTTTAATAATATCAAACTAAGAGAACTATTTAGCTACATTTACCAGTTCAGGAGAAATCTGACTGCAGGCACAGAACACACTGCTGAAGTCACTTATTTCAAGCAAAGCAAACAGGACATTCTTTGGTCTTTATACAAACTCATTCTTCCTATTCTATTTCCAGCCAAAGCAAACTTCACTGATTCATTAGAGTTTACAAGTAAGAACTCTAAAGAATGAGGAAAATACTTCAGAGGCTTAAAAGGATATGACATGCGTAAAAGAATGACTTTGTTTACTGTCAATTAAAAAGTTGACATATGTCACATCACATGAGACCTCACAACCCCATTCCTTTCATTTCTGTTTCACAAACCACCTCAGGGGACACTCACGTTTGTTGTTCTGATTACAGAAAAGGCGGCCATGTGCTCGGAGTTGAGCAATGAGGCCTGGAAGCTACACAAAGTGCTGCACAGTGTAAAGGGCACTGGATGGAGTGCCCAGAGCGCCAGGGTCTGGTCCCCGGTGAGGCCTGTCAGTTACCATATTAATTCTAAGGCGCCTTTAAATTTAAACAGTCTTGGATTCTAAAAACTTAAAGCTTTTATTTAGACCTTTATTTATAAACAGAACCATAAAACAATATTTTTTGAGAAATACCTGCCTAAACTGTTGTCGTATTTGGGATGTTTCCTATAAGCACTTTACACTTCTAACACAATGTCTCATTGCAGCTGCACCTCCATGCTCCAGGTAGCTGCCAATGTCAACAGCAATAGGCTAGCTGTCAAGCCTATAAACCAACAGTGAAAAGGAGTGGCTTTTCCAAATCCACAGTGGAAACATGGTGCTTTTAAAGGAAAATATTTACCGAACTTAAAATGTATTCTATACACATAACCCTCTCCCATGAGCAATAGAGAGTCACCTTTCTGTGAATATTTAGTTCAACCTGAAGTTTGATTCCATACTTATTTTCTATTTTTAGGACTTTACAAAGGAACAATTGATTTTCAAGGTCCTGCATGTCTTTGATCAGCTCATTGTTCTAATAGTATGCTATCACAGTGCTAATTTGAACCAAATCAAATTGTCAATATTCAACCATTTTTTTTGCCTTCAAATGAGAATTCCATATACTGCAACCAAACGTTTAATAATCGGCTGCAGAGTGTTGGGGAGAGCCCTGATGGCAGTGTTTGCTCATTTTTGTGATGTCAATCCTGCCATCATGGCCAAGTTCAAGCTGCCAACATGACGGATGTCACTGCATACGGTCCTCATGAGCTGGCGTGTTAGCAGGTCCCGCACACCCTGCGTTACACCCAATAGAGATCAGTGACCACATTTCACCCACAAACTCCCAGTGAAAAATCTATGGCACGGCACAGATTTCCCCACCATTCGTGACACGAGACATGGTTGCCCATCAGGACTGCTGTCTGCTCTTCAGAGCGACTCTCCTGGCCTTTGTGCACTTGTGCATCACCGGCGTAGTTGTGTATAAATCGCTCTCGCTTAAGAAGTATTGATGGAACCCATACCTATCCTGACCCACATTTCCTGGCACTAGAGAAACATAGATTTCAGGTTTCTGGCAGTTCCAATACCACAAAAGCAACCATGAAGACAGGCTCATGAAAACCCATGCCTCTAAAGCAAGAGGTATTTCTGGGTGAAAGGACGGCGTGAAAAACAAATACACAGGGTGCTTCCCCTGTGAAAGCCTAGCCTGCCAAGCCCAGCAGGGCAAGAGAAGGTGTGATTTTTCTCTGAGGTCCCATGTGTCTAAATCGGGGAGAACGTGGGGATCAGAGTGAATAACGTGGCTGCATTGTAGTCCAGCTCTGTCATTACCAGCTGTGACCTTGGATGTGTCATTTCATGTCTCAAATCTATACTAATAATAGAGGATTATGCAAATTGTCCAGGACACCGTCACAGTAACAGTAATGACTGAACAGCAGGCTGTGTGGGGCAACCAGGCCGGCAGGGGGGGTTAGTGAGGGACGACCAAACAACTGAACAGCAGGCTGTGTGGGGCAACCAGGGTGGCGGGGGCAGTTGGAAGCGACCAGGCTGGCAGGGGCGCAGTTGGGTGTGACCAGGCCAGCAGGGGAGCAGTTGGGGGTGACCACGCTGGCAGGAGGGCAGTGAGGGGTGACCAGGCTGGCAGGGGAGGGCAGTTGGGGGCAACCAGGCCAGCAGGGAGGGCAGTAAGGGGCAACCAGGCCGGCAGGGGGAGCAGTTAGGGGCAACCAAGCCGGCTGGGGGGAGCAGTTGGGGGTGACCACGCTGGCAGGAGGGCAGTGAGGGGTGACCAGGCTGGCAGGGGAGGGCAGTTGGGGGCAACCAGGCCAGCAGGGAGGGCAGTAAGGGGCAACCAGGCCGGCAGGGGAGCAGTTAGGGGCAACCAAGCCGGCTGGGGGGAGCAGTTGGGGGTGACCAGGCTGGCATGGGGGGCAGTTAGGGGCGATCAGGCTGGCAGGCAGAGGCGTTTAAGGGTGATCAGGCTGGCAGGGGGGGCAGTTAGGGACAATCAGGCAGGCAGGCAGGTGAGCAGTTAGGAGTCAGTGGTCCCGGATTGGAAAGGGTGCAGGCTGGGCTGAGGAGACCCCCCCCCCCCCGGCACCTGAACAAATTTCGTGCACTAGGCCTCTAGTATGACAATAATATCTACAACTCTATGAGACAGAGCTGCTGTAGGATTGCAAATGCGTATTTAGCACAACGCCTAGCACATACCAGCAAGTGCTTAAAGTGGTGTTTGAATGTGAGTCTGAACCAGGAGTGCAAGATGCAGAGTAGAATCAGGTGAAGAGGGAAGTTGAAAGTCACTTTGGGAGGGTAGAAGTTGTAAGGTGGTCTGGTTCCGGGCTTCTACCTGCCAGGACAACAAGGAGGGACCTAGGAAGGTGTAGCTTTCAGCCAGAGCCTCACAGAGGGGCTTCAGGATCCCAGGGAGGCACTTCCTGCCTGAGTCCGATGCTTTTCAGTAAAAACTCATTGGACGGAGACTACAGCACTGATGTCCTTCCTCTCACTTCCGGGCTTAGACTTCAGTCACACCTTAAAGCTGACCGCAGTCATGTTAACTAAGTCGGTGTATGAAACATTACTCTCACCCCAGAACCAGAATTTTCAAATGGAGTCTGTTAAGAGTCCCAAGAGTTAAAAGTAATGTCTAAAGTAACTGCAGTCATATTTCCAATGGCCTTAGGAATATGCCACATAGTATCACTTTAAAAATAATAACCACCCCAAGTTAACTCTCCCTCTTTAATCTCCAATTTCTATTAATGGTACATACCGTTCCTCCAAACTGCACACCCTAGAGTTGCCTCTGACTCCTCTCTCACGCCTTTTCGCTATCTGCACCAAGCCCTAGTGATTCTTCCTTTGCAAGATTTCAAAGTCATCCCTCTCTGTTTCCACTGTCACTGCCTTAACCTAGATGCTCTTCTCACCTTATGCTTAAATTACAAATGTCACCCTTTAGTTCTTATTTTTATCAAAATTATGACTGTACATGGTTCCAGGAGTCAATAGCTCTCGAAGGTGTGTTAAGAAAGCCCCGCCTTCTTGCTCTATACTCCTTTCTTCCTTCAGGAGCAAGCACTTAGATTTCTTTTACCTGTTTTTTTTCTTATTTTTTTTTAACTTCTATGTCTCTAAACATTATGCTTAATTTACTGTTACATGATTTTTCAGTTTTAGTAGAAGGCAAATATTGACTCTTGATTCTCCTCTACCTCAATCCCACAAACACATATACTATTTTCTCATACAGATTCAGCAACCCATATTGTTATATTGTAGCAATGGGTAGAGAAATATTTAATGCTTACCTTTTATGGGCCAAACTATTATTATTTTTTCTTTCCTAAAAACTTGTTTTTCCTGGAGCTACTTTTTTCTTTACCTTTCCTTTTTTCTGGGCATAGTTTTCCATGCACTTCTCACTTGAATAACCCCAAATACTCTACTAAGAGCCTAAATCTTCTTTCAGTATATTCAGACACATCAAGTATTCCGAAACAGGAAAATGGTATAAAAGTCTCTCTTCAGAGTCTGCTGATTTGTTCCACACAGGACTGACTAATTACCCTCTCCTTCTTGGTAGATATTAGGATTGAACTTGGATGAACTTCAGGGTTCATCTTAGAATCACTGGAGATTCCCTCCACCTCTCTCCTGGGAAGGAGTGAATGAGAAGGAGAGTTTTAGGAATGAAGGTCGAAGAGGAACTAGCCTGATCATGTAGGGCCTTGTGGGTCATGGTAAGAATTCTGGCTTCTACTCTAAATGAGAAGCGAGGACTGGAGGGCTTTGAGCAGAGGGGTAACATGATCTGACTTACATTTCATCTGGATCACAGTGACTGCTGTACGGAGGGAAAAAACTAAATGGAAGTAAGAGTGGAAGCAGAGAGGTCTCCACAGTGAGGCGTTTACTGAAAGAATACGATGAGATTCGACAGTGTCTTGTATTGAGATGGTAGCAATGAAGGAGGCACGAGGAGATCAGATTCTGGACATATTTTGAAGTAGATCTGCAGGACTTGCTGACCGGGTTTGGATGTGGGGAAAAGTGCTTCCATGGAAAATATGTGGGGGGAGAGGGCAAAAATTTGGTAAAATGTCAGCAGCTGGTGAGTCCAGGTGAAAGGCACAGGGAATGACTGAAATGAATGACGCCACCTCGTCTCGCCCTGACTTGTGTCTCCCTTGGGAGGGAGGAGGACGTTTTGTCTTCTTGGGCTGCGGGCCGTCAGCTGCTTCTGCTGCCCTGATGGCTCAGCTGCTGCATCTTCATGGCTATGCTGATCCCAGCCTCATTTCTAACAGCAATCTTTGAATCCGTGACAGTGAGAATAGGGTGATGCTTAGTATTTATTTGACTTTTACTGTGTTCCAAGCACCACATTAAGTGCTTTTACATGCATTCTCTCACTTGCTCTACAACTTCCCAGAAGAAACTAAAGCCACTCAGCATGTCAGAGGCAGAGCCAAAGCCCGCACTTGTCAAGCGCACTGTACGTGCCCAGCTCCTTTGCCAGGAGAGACGAGGCTGAGATACTGAAGAAGCGTAACCTACAGGGTTCAGCACACTGGTATGTTCCTGGGAACGAGGGCAGAATTTCCCTTTGAGATGTTAAAAATTAAATAATCTTCAGGCCTGATCATGATCATTACCATCTTCCTGCCGAAAATGTGATTTTCTACTGGATCTGCTTCGGCCGTAGGATCGCCTGCCAATGGATAAGCGCATTTTTCTCTCCTTTAATGTAACAGCACCCCAGTGACATAAACTCCTTGAAAAGATCTGACCACATTTGTTATTTCCACCTACTCCAAACGTCCTTTCCCCTCTTTTTTATTGAAACTCTACAGAAGAGTTCAAGAATAGGAAAATCAACAGCCATGTGTCTTTCACCTAGAATCGTTGATTGTTGGCATTTTGCCAAATTTGCTTTCTCTCTTACGTATTTTTTTTCCGATGGAAAAATCTTGAGTAAGTTGCTGGCATTATTCAAAGCAATTCCTAAATACATCACTCCTAAATACTTGCATGTGTGTTTCCCAAGAACAAGGACACTCTCCTCCCTGACCTACAATTATATTGTCAACCTCAAGAAATGAGATGTGATTAAACAATGTAACTTAATAAATAGCCCAGATTCAAATTTCACCCAAGTTGTTACAAAAACAGATGCAATGAATGGAATAGACCAATTCCAGCCCAGAATGATAAGAAACTTGCTTTGTAAAGGAGCCTGCGTTCCCTCTTGTAAACAGCTGATGCTAATCCTTACCCCTCTAGGTTGTTTGGAGGATGAAGTTACAATAAGTGTGACTACCTTCTGCAAAGTCTCTACTGTACAAACACAAAGAAGGCTGAAAGGTGAGAAAGCTGCTTCTCAACTAGGGCAAGTTAGAAGGTTTCAAATATGTTTTTTATGGATTTTTAGAGAGGAAGGGAGAGTGATAGAGAGATAGAATATCAATGAGAGAGGAACATCATTGATCGGCTGCCTCCCATATGCCCCACACTGGAGACCGTGCCCACAATCTAGCCTTGTGCCCTGATGGGGAATCGAACCCGTGACCTCTTGGTTCCTGGGTTGACACTCAACTGCTGAGCCACACTGACCAGGCAAGTTTGAAGGTTTTAGAGTCAAAAAGCAGCACCCATTTTCTCAAAGGCATTCTTCAGGTTCACAAAGGAGGCAATATAAATTTATAAGAATACTAGTGGCCCGGTGCATGAAATTCATGCACATTAAAAGGGAAGAGACCCAGACTCGGCCGATGCAGCATCAAGTCCCCAGCTGGTGCCAGGCAGGGACACAGCGTCAAGTCCATGCCCACCCATGTGTGCCTTGCCGCGCACGCAGCCCCGCCCACCTGCATGCAGCCCCGCCCACCCGCACCTGCATTGCACACAGCCTCCTGCTGATCGGTCGTTACAGCGTGACGGAATCATGACCATTAGCATATTAGCTCTTTACTATATAGGATACATTTTCCTGCCTTGGGACAAAAGCTATTTTATATTTTACTTTTTAAAAGTCAAAAATTACTTACTACTCATTGCAAAAGTTAAAATGCAACAGAAGTAAATGAAGAAAAAGGCCAAGCTTTTTCCATTCCCCTGTACCAGTTATTTTCATTTTAAGGGAAAATAAAACATAGCTCATAAGTATGTTATTTTTTTTTTCTGAATTAGCTTTTGTGTAAGAAAGAAAGCTCCCTCATCACTGTCCTAAAGGCCTCTGGATCTCCCGGCTCTCCATCTCCTAATTTACCCTCCCAGTCATCAGAAGAGCTATATTTCTAAAATTCAAATTTGATTCTGGCACTCCCCTAATTAAACACCCCCAGTCCCTAAAGCCTCAGTGCCACCAGCTACCCAATTTCATTTCCCATCTCTTTTCCATGTTAATCTCCAGCGATATACCCCACTGTGACCTCTCTTCCTGCATCACCTCACTTTGTTCTCCCAAAGTGCCTACATCAAGTATGTCAAACTCACGACCCGTGGCCACATGCCCCGTTTATTTGGCCTGTGTTAGCCTTTGAGTTTGACATGCTTGGCCTACATATCCTGCATGTCCGTAATATCTACGGGACAAAATTAACCACACATTTTAGGCTTAAACACCTGTCTACACCAACACTGAATTCAGACGTCCACAATTATTTACCCACACAGCTGCTTCTCCTATTCCACAGGGGCTCTCTTAAGGCTACACCTGTAGCTAATCCTGTTTCCTCGTCCCTGGCATTGTTTTTGGCACCTATCTGGTGCTCACTAAGTGCTTGCTACATGGACTCTAACTGGCAAACACCTTATTCCCTAAGTAAAAGAAGCTAGCGGTTATTGGAACTATTGACTGAGCATTCATGTCCACTCAGTGGCCACTATTCAGTAATATTAACTTTCGCACCACCCACGTGCCCAGGTCCCTTCTCGTGGGCTCACCGAGGACAGGTGGGGTAGAGTCAACTACAGGACTGGATTCGGGTCATGGCTGACAGTGGCCCCAGGGTTTTAGGAAGAGGAAGGGTTCAGCCAGTACCTGATGGAGGCAAAGGGGAAGTGCTCTCGAGTCCAACTGCTCCACTTCACCGCGGATCAGTGAGAAGAGAGACTGCAAAGCCAGTGTCGGGGCTTCTGGTTGGTCGTTAGCATTGCCTTCGGCTGACTCTTCCTCACCAACAGCATGTGCGTCTGCACTTAGCACGTCTTCTTGCATTAAAGGTGTGGAATCCCCCGAGGAAAGTCCTGGAAGAAGTAAATAAAGTCCTATGTTAGGATAAGTTCCCACCATGGTGGGACAGCCTGAAACAATGATGCCTGCTCATGATACAATTTTCAAATAAGACTAAATACGTGAAAACCCCCAGAAAACAGTTACTGGCCTGATTAAGATTGTGCCGACATTTGACTGCTTCTATTAGCACACACATAAACCATTTTTGCAGAATTATCACTAAAAGTATTAATAAAAATAGATCTAAATAGAACTGTGAAGGTTTATGCAGGTTGAAACCTGACCGAAAACTTGATTCTCCCAAAGAAAAAAATGGAATAACTGTATGTAATTTGAAGTCCTCGCTTGCCCAAAATAAAACAGAACTGAACGGAAGATAAATGTGTTTATCATGTGAAATTGCTGGCTAAAGGGTTAAGCTTTCCTCCTCAAACTCTGGCCTGATAACTTTGGAACTACTTCTGGATCCCAGAAGAGCAGTACCAATTCAGATGCCAGAGCTAATGGCCACAGAAACATTTTTCCTAGTAAAAAAGTTAAGTAATACAAACTTCTAAAAATAAAAAAGTCACCAATAAATTAAATGCGTGGCCCACAGCTCCTGAAATGATGCACAAAATTTTAAAAATTCAATCATTATACATTATAATGTCAACCTTCACTAAATTCTCAGTATCGGTTCCAATTTTCATATTCAAATTGATAGACTATCTGACTGTCCAGACCGTCAGCTGGTCTGCCCCAGACAGGATCTTACCCAGCAGTTTAGTGCGTTCACCACGACTGAGGATGCAATCCCCAGCCCTCTAGATGGTGTCCAGAACCCTGTCTTCTACTGCCTTCTATTTTTGTTGTTGTTGTTAATCTTCACCGGAGGATATTTTTCCACTGATTTTTAGAGAGAGAGGAAGTGAGAGGGAGAGACAGAGAGAGAGAGAAACATGGATGTGAGAGAGACCTATCGGTTGGTTGCTTCCCGCATGTGCCCCGACCAGGGCCAGGGATCCAGCCTGCAACCAAGGTCTGTGTCCTTGACAGGAATCTAACCTGGGACCCTTCAGTCCACAGGCCGAGGCTCTATCTACTGAGCCAAATCGGCTAGGATTTCTACTGCCTTCTAAATAAACCCACTGTCTGACCAGACCGATCAATTCTTCATCTCCCTAATAAGGCACTTAGAGATGCCAACAGTTGGAACATTTTCCTCTCATCCACGCCTACTTATGTTCTCCCCTAACAAAATCGATGTATTGCCCTATAGCAGGAGCCTGAAGTAATTTCTTCTGAGTCCTCTATCCGGCTGCATTATAGTAACTGGTGTACGGCCTCATCTTTATTGGGTCACAACTCCTGCAGCACAGGATTAGTTTATGTACCACATTATGCCCCTTGTATCCAGCAGTGGCTCAGCACTAAAATTCCAGTAATGTGCTTTTGAAAAAACAAAATTATCCGTAGTGATTTCTTATATTGTTGTAACTTCTCTTTTATAAAGTTTATGTCACTTGGCTTCTGGAAGTACAGGTGCAGTGATGGCCTGCCATTCTGCGGGGACAGTTTTCATGAAAACATGAGTGATTTGTCTGCTTGCTAATTTTTAAACCACATGGTTGCTACTAGCTTTCCACAGAAAACTACAAAGATATTAAGAGAAGTACTGTTTTATTTCCCTCTTCCCTTGCCATACAACTTTGTCTAAAATATTTAATCTCATAGAGACTGAAATAAGGTTAGCCTGCCATATTCTACAATTCTCTTGATTTAGTTCTTCCCATAGTTATCAAATACTACTTCATGTTTCTTCTTTGAAAAAAATGTTAAAATTTTATAATACTCATATTCAGTAAAATGGAGTTAAAGACAGAATTTTCCAAGTTTTAAAAAAAGGAACAGAATTTATGAGTACCTTATCTCAAGGAGGTAAAAAAAAAAGGATTCTGAATAATGGAAATGGATTATCTCAGTTATTTAGACAGCATCTATATATATAAAAGCCTAAGTGTCCACCTGACTGTCCGACTGGTAGCTATGATGCACACTGACCACCAGGGGGCAGACGCTCAACACAGGAGCTGCCATGATGCGCACTGGCCAGTTAAAAAGAAACAGCACCGCAGACCTGGCACCGACAAACCAACACTTGGCTTCCCCCAAGTGGGTCACAGGCCCTGCCACCACCCTGAGCGACACCCCACCAAATCGTAGCCAACACTGCCAAGACTCCATGGCACAAAATGTGGCCCATAGCCCAGCCCAGCCTGAAAACAGTTGCTGTGGGCGCCGGGTAATGATGTCACGTAGCAACACTCGGCTTCCTCTCCCTAGCGTTTTATCAGAACCTCCTTGGAGTTTCTTCAGCCCAGGAACCCGAATTGCTTTATAGCCAGGTGCAAACATTTTACACTTTAACCAAATGTCTGTGAAGCGTCTTCCCGTGCCTCATCTCATTTGATCCTCACAGAAGTCCTGGAGCAGGTAGATAGGAGACTTGGCAGAATCCTATTTTCTTTTCATTAGCCAGAAAACGGAGATTTAGAAAGTTTAGAAACTTGACCCGACTGAAAAGAAGAAAGAAATGGTGGAACTTGAAAATAACTTCAGGTTTTCTCACTGCGCAGAATATAGTCAAACATTGCTGCAGTTCAATATTTTACCCTTTGTTCTCCCTGTGTGATTTACAATAATAATCTGCTTTGTGTTGATATTTACTGCTGTGTTGCTGACAATTACCTAAAAGAGAAGTTGGGTGCTTCACTGGGCTTGAAAAAGTTTAGCTACATCAGAAATCAGGTCTAATTAAGCAAGTTTATTCTATATCTATAAGAGGCTAAGTTGACTCGTGCATGCACAATACATATAAAGCTCTCACTGGCGCCAATCACACATGTGTGTTTCTATCTGTCATTGTCGATCATGAATTTGGTTGACACTTCTATTATAGAGAAAGGGCGAATAGCAATATTAAAATATTTCTGCTAATTAATTTACTTTCAATGTGCATGAATCTGTGCTCTGAACACTAGTAGATTCATAATGGTCATGATTCCTGCTAAATCTATTTTGTCTCTAAGTTATTTTAATAATTAATAATTGTACTTACACATAAGTACAATTTATAAATAAGCAATGTATTAGTAAATAAAATTATGTAGTGCTTGGCCGGAATGGCTCAGTGGTATGAACCAGGAGGTCATGGTTCGATTCCTGGTCAGTGCACATGCCTGGGTTGCGGGCTCCATCCCCAGTAAGGGGTGTGCAGGAAGCAGCCGATCAATGATTCTCTCTCATCATTGATGTTTCTATCTCTCTCTCCCTCTCCCTTCCTCTTTGAAATCAATACAAATATAAAATTATGTAGCAACAAAAGAAATTTTAAGAGGAATAACCGACAGAAGTTTCAAAAGCATAGAGAAATCTAAGGATTCCAAGAGCAACAAAGGCTGATGTGAACAATTAGAAAGAATATAGGACTTTAATCATTAAGTGTAGGGAGGGGATGAAAAATATGAGCTAAGCTCAGATGGGTCATTCCAGATGGGTTAACAGGAGAGGGAAACTTGTAAGACTCAGACCACAAAAGACTTACCTATCAGGGCTTGACGATCATGAGTGTCAGAGATGACTTAGATAAAAGCACCCTATCTGTTGAGATAACATTCCTTGCTGGGACAGAGTAGGGTAGATCAAACAGCACTGGAACCCGAGCGAGAGGCTTCAGTTCTGTCACTATTTTCAAAGTGACCTTGGAGTAGACTTTTTATTCTCTACTAGTGTCCCGATGCATGGATTCGCGCACATTGAAAGGAAATTAATTAGAAGAAATATTTTAATATCACTATTCGCATCTTGCTAATGAAAAGAAAATAGGATTCTATCAAGTCTCCTATCTACTCTAGGACTTCTGTGAGGATCAAATGAGATGAGGCATGGGAAAAGGCTTCACAAACATTTGGTTAAAGCAGGGGTCCTCAAACTTTTTAAACAGGGGGCCAGTTCACTGTCCCTCAGACCGTTGGAGGGCCGGACTATAGTTTAAAAAAAAAACTATGAACAAATTCCTATGCACACTATACATATCTTATTTTGAAGTAAAAAAACAAAACGGGAACAAATACAATATTTGTATTTGCATGTGGCCCGCGGGCCGTAGTTTGAGGACCCCTGGGTTAAACTGTGAAATGTCTGCACCTGGCTATAAAGCAAGTTGGGTTCCTGGACTGAAGAAACTCAAAGGATGCTAGTCGCTAGGGAGAGGAAGTTGGGTGTTGCTATGTGGCATCATTACCCGGCGCCCACAGCAACCGTTTCTGGGCTGGGCTGGGGGCTGCATTTTGCACCATGGGATCTTGGCAGCGTTGGCTGCAATTTGGTGGGGTGTCACGGGGCCTGTGTCCCACTTGGGGGAAGCTGAGTGTTAGTTTGTCGGCACCAGGTCAGTGGTGCTGTTTATTTTTAAAGGCCAGTGTGCATCTTGGCAGCTCCTGTGTTGAGCGTCTGCCCTCTGGTGGTCAGTGCGCATCATAGCTACTGGTCGGATGGACACTTAGGCTTTTATATATATAGATAGTATAGTTTCCTCATCTTTAAGATAAAGGGATTGCCTAGATGAGATCTCAGGTCCCTCCTAGATCTGACCATCTCAAACATTCAAAATCTCCATGGTGATTCCGGTATTTAAGAAATGTAGACAGGGTGACCCCCATGGCCCCAGCCTCCAGGAGAACTCTGACAGAGTCTGGCTACTGGCCTTCCTCAGGGCCAGGCCAAGCCCTGCAGCATCCAGGCCGGCGATCATGGCCCCATGCTCCAAGCTCACTCCAGCTCCAGGCGGACCCTCATGAACCAATTCATCAGCCCCATCCCAGTGGTCCCCTGGTTGGCCATCAAGGACCCAGGCTCCGGGCTCTCCCCAAGTCCCAATGTAGGATCAGGCACTGGGCCTGCCCCAGTAGACCTAGGCACCAGGCTGGCCACTGTGGATCAAAGCACCAAGCCTCCCCACCTACTGACC